AATTATTAACCAAAGCTAGAAGTAAGATCGGGCGCCTTTCATAAAATCGTGCGTGGGCTTTGGACTGATAATGCGGCTCACGCTTTGTTTTCAATCACGTTTTGCAGTGTGCGGGTGTTGCTAAACACTATTTTATTTTACTTAGTGCCAAGGTGTCAAAGGCATTTTTGTCTTTGTTATGAATTCACTCAGACGGCCGTTCTGCATAAACTCTGAAGCGCAGTTAAAGCCGCCGTCTTGAGCATGGCACACATAAATACTGTGCGTTGTGGAAATTTGTGTCAGGGCTGGATAACTGCCACTGAAACGTAAGAGGTCCCATTTAAAAAAAAAAAAAAAAAAGAGAGAGAAAAAGGAAGCCAAATGGGAAAACAATGTCTGGGGTTGAGGGTTAAACATTGACGCATATTGTCATGCGTAAATGGCATTGTAAAAACACAGGCATGTCCTGTGTGAAATGGCGCGGCTAACACTTAGCCTGTGCGCTGCTCTCGCTCTGAGAGATATTTCAAGTCACAAAAGATGCTTGATGCTTGCGCCTTAAATTTCGCTTAGTACAGTCAATTGGAAGAACCTCGTGGTCTGTTGGCTTACGATCCACTTCCTGTTTTCTATTTTTTGAAGATCACTTTTGGGGTTTTGCGCTAAACCAGCGACAGTCATTTCCACATGGCAATTTTGCAACGCCACTCTCATGAAAATTGTCTGAGCAATACCTGAATCGAAAATGGAGAAAGTGTATCATGACTTTTGGGCCACCATGTGCATGAGGTTGTTTTGAAGAAAAATAGCACGGCACATCAATGTATGGAAGTCTTGCTAATTTAACCAAGTCTATTTAGTCTATCACAGTGTCTGCGATGAGCCAACAGGTGGGAATCCGTGCTTTTTGTTACCTAATTGGAGGCAATAAACACACCCACTACACAAGGACTCATCATATAAACATGACGATGTGTGTAGCATTTACACGCACTGATAAGATGACATGTTACATCCCATGACAGTTTTTTTCCTCCATTGAGGTCATTTACTGAACTGGATTTGTAGTAGACTGACTTGAACTTGGTCGCCGCACGTAAAGGAAAAGTACCGGAACTTCATACTTCGCTCCGTTTAGCTTTGTGTTATTGAAAGCAGGGGTAACGTTAAAAAAAAAAAAAAAAAAACAACAACAACAACACATTTGCCAAAATGAATATGAAAGTACACCGTTGGTAAAACATTTTGAGAAAGAGCAAATCAGTGCTCAAGAAAGCAGACTTGCTTTGTCCAAATGACCGTTTATTTGCCCGGCCAAATGGCCAAGGACGCAGTTGCCTGACAAGTTTGGATAATAAAAGAAATTGTGGACACACCAAAGTAAACTTGAGAAGATAACTTGGCTGATTGGAAGTGTATGTGCACACCCAGTTGAATGGAATCGCTTGAAAAAGATGTGCATTCTCTGTGCATAAAAAAAAAAAAAAAAAAAAACGGAGGGGAGCCGTTAAGAAGTATTGCAGGATTAAAGCGAATTTCTTTTTTTACGCCCGTCATCCAACTTTTTTAAACCACACTTTTCTCTGTGTTGTGTCGAATTTCAAAGACATATTTGAACACACACACAAAAAAATTGTGAGCACAAAACTGAAAATTCTGGATGTTTTTTAGTACTGTATCTGTGTTGGATATGTGCCTTTAAGGGGCGGGGCCTGGTGGGGTGATGTGTGATATCTGTGTGTGAGAAAGTTGGGATTTCTTTGTGAAAAAAAAAAAAAAAAAAAAAAATCTCATGTCCAAGGATGATTTTAATCTCGATTATAAATCTGTCAAAAAAAAGTGGCTTTATTGTCTTTTATCATCATGGATGACGAAGCATGCGACGTGAACGCAGGGCTGAAAGTTCAGGAAGCGCTGAGGTTAGGAAACATATGGGCACAATATAACAATAATGCTTTCTCTCTGCAAAGTGTGTGTATGTGTGTGTGTGTGTGTGTGTGTGTGTGTGTGTGTGTGTGTGTGTTGAAGATAGGAGAGATGTAAATCAGCTGATATGACACACCCGTCACATTCGAATGGCAATCTGTTGAAGTAATTGTTCTATTGGAGCCATGTCACGTTGCTGTTTACTTCACAAGGTTGACTTTACAAGTAATCATGCACACTCACTTGCCTATCAAACGATTCCTCTTGCGATGAAGTAAGGGCAACTTCACCAAGATGTCAAAACGTCTCCAGAGTCATTTCTTTTCAGGGAGTAAAACAATCAAACGAATAAAAAAAACAAAACCCATTTTGCTTAACTTAATACCACACAGTTAAAGGTGGTATGATACGGTACCTTATATTGCCTTATACTGTATACGATATACCCTTGTGTTCCAACATCAACACAGCACCACCACAAAATCAATCTCTATTATATCTATCCATCTATCTATCTATATAGAGATATCTATATCTCTATATAGATAGATAGATCTCTCTCTCGCTCTCGCGTATCTGTCAAAAAATGTATTGTGACACCCCTACCTTTTGATTTTAAAAAGAAATCAAATCATTTTACAATAGCCTCTTGCGTAGAATCAGTGGATGAGATATTCCAGGTGGATTATCATGCACAGATGGTGTTTACACCTTTCACACGCAAGAAGCCCCCGCGATGCAGGCAATTGTCAACGGACTGCACTTTTTATTGGGCTTTTATCCAAAATGCTTTCAAACGCTTTTACTGTCTGCAATTGAGGGCACCGGCCTCACCCCCCTGGGAGCAAATGGGATTCATTGGCCTGCTTCCCAAGGCTACAATCTCTCATATACTGTCTATAAAAGCCAGTATTTCCATCCTTATTTTTTTAAGTTACTCTTCTGTAAAGAGGGAGAAGGTCGACCGGTCAATTTTTGGCCTTCTGAGTAAAAAAAAAAATCAGAGCCGGAACGGTTCCTGGATCGAGGTGAAAGTTACCACCTGACTCATTTCTACCACTTGCAACTGTTTGACAAATCATTTTCACACGTCAGCAAAAGCTGGGGCTGATGATGACATTTAAGTATCTGAGCGTGGGGTGCCACACCACCGTGGGAAAGCACGCAATGGTGGCAGTATCGAAAACATGAGCTGACAACAACTTGCCGCTATTCACCTGCACATCTGAAAGTGTATAATATATTACAGGGAAGTGCACATTAGTTGGTTTATGATTCAGCTCACCACTGACCCTGAACCGGGGTAAGTGTTCGAAAATAGACGCGTGGATGGATGATTAACAGCACCGTGCTCGCGTTTTGAAGTTACAGCCTCAAGAGGGTGCCATTGTTCAACAGTGCACTTTCAATCACGCGAGTTGTCATTGTTGAATTTAGAATCTGAGCAGATGAAGTACATGATTGAAAAGCAGGGTTAGTTGAATGCTAATAGATGACTCGTTGGGTAGATGCATTGTAGCGGTGATACAGAACCACTGTTCCGTGAGAAATCAGATGTGCCACTGGCACTTGTACAATTTTGTGGACAGAAAATGGATTTACTTCAAATAACACAACAATATACAAGTGACATATACTCACATACTAACCATTGAAATGCTCTTTTGCAAGTTCGCATCACTTCAGTATTCATACTTTTCATGACATTTTGATCTAGCTTGCTCATCTGAAATAATATTTCTGTTTTAAGATCAGAATTTTTATTGATTGAGCAAATCGAGCAAACTGCTTGTTTGGGGCGATGTTGGGGGTACGTGTGTAATCTGGGTAACATCCATCTTTTTTTTTTTTTTTTTGCCATACAATAATAACGTGTAATTGCACATCCACGATGCTAGGTGGCGGTGGCAATCCCGTATATTTATTTATTCAGGTAAATTGATACACTTCAAATCTCTTCTTTGACTGACTAAAAAAACAGATTTCTGGAGGTGGGGGTGGGGGTGTTTCTTCTTTCTGGGGTAGGGGGGTCGGAGCAGGCAAATAATTGAGAAGCACTGGTTGCCAGTATTTTTGATCGTCCAGCAGGGGTACTTAAATACAAATCCTAAAGGAGTCCCAAACATTTTTCCATGACTCATAGGTTCATTTCGTGATGTTAACGATGTCACTATTTCCAAAATGACCTTTTCATTTGAAACAACAACAGTACGAGCTGAAGTAAAATGCCATTTGCATGTTGACATCAATTATTAAAAGCACTTGTCCAAAACAAAACATGACTGCTGTCATGAATTAAAAAAAAAGAGGGAGGTGTAAGAACTTGCTTCTTTTGAAATAGAAACACAGGAGAGAAGTGCAATTGCTGCGTCACACTTGAGGAGGGCCAGTGTGTGCTTGTGTGTGTGTGTGTTCACATGAGAGAGGGAGGGGGGAGGATTTAGTGGGACTCTCATACAGACAGTGGAGCGGCTGTCAGTGTCAGACAGATACTCTCCGGCACCAGGCTGCTGGAGTCCGCCTACGTTCCCTTCGCTGGCCACCTGCCTTTCCCAGAATAAAACAGGGCAGTTAAAAAAAAAAAAAAAGCTCCAGCAGAACTAAAGGAATACGAGTGAGTGACTGCAGTCCATCGCTTGGGGATCAAGCTTAC